CATGTTGCCTAATATAATTATGAAGTGCAATTGTTGCAGCTACTATCTTCTTCTGTGTTGTAAATGAATAACTTCGCATGCCGAACAATATTTCAAACCTATTTTTCCAACACCCAATAGATCGTTCAATGACATTTATAAGACAAGCATGAGCATGGTTGAATATTTCTTGATAACCGATTGGTTGGCTTCCTTGTCTAAAATCAGGAATGTGATACCTTTCTCCTTTATAAGGTGCCAAATATCTATTTATATTAGGATAACCAGCATCAACAAGATAATATTTACCTAAAATATAAGAGAGAAATCATTGATAACAAATACAAAAAATTTTCTTAAAAATTCATTAAGAATTGTGCTTAAAAACTATAACATAAAATAAATAGAAAATTATTACCATCAGAAGGATGAGGAAACACATCCTTATGATTTTCCAATGTATGGGTTAAAACACGTGCATCATGAGTAGATCCAGGCCACCCTGTAACTACAAATGTAAATATCATGTCAAAATTACAAATTACCATCACATTTTGAGTGGGGATGCCTTTGCGACCTATAAATGGTATTAGGTCTTCTTTAGGGATTGTGGCTTTAACATGCATACCATCAATTGCACCAATACATCCTTTAAAATGAGGCCAAAACCTACTATCTTGTCGAATATTATTGGGAGTTTCGGTAAAATTATAATCAAGTGGTTTCACAATGTCACTTGAAAACCTCACCATTGCATCAAGAACCTCTTGAAATTTTCTACTTATTATTTCTCCCGAATGTTTAAAACGATTTTGCACATTTCGATTAGATTGATTATGTGCATATGTCCAAAGAAATATTGCAAGTGATTCTTCTACACATATTTCTCTTGTTGATGTTAGCCCATAATTACTAACTAACAAAGAACATAATCCCGTAAAAACATGTGGTTCCATTCTAAATAATTTACAACTTTCACCTGGAGTTGCCAATGTCTCTTGCACCCATTGCCAACCTGAAAGTCTTGAAACTTCTTTTTTGTTTTTTAAGATATTTTGAAATATATTTTGAAGATATTGAAGCACCTAAGTGAACAAGAGAATAAAAGATATTATTCTTTTTCATCTACCTTCCACCTACTTATCTCTTTGTTCTACAGCTTGTTCCTCCATCTCATCCTCATCACTATTTTCTTCCTCCACCTCACACTCATCACTATTTTCATAATTCCACTTTGGATCTAAATCCATCTACAAGAAAAAGAAAAACATTAGGATCCACATATGAACACAAAAAACCAATCTAATTATTTTTACAACTAAATTAAAATGTAAAAAAAATAAGATAACATACCTTTTTATCTTTCTCTTAAGTTGAATAATAAATGAACTCTTGAACTCTTTGACGTAAATTGAATTTGGGAGAAGTGCACGAGGGTATTGTAATTTAAATAGGGGGTTGTGTTTTTATGTATGTTTAGATTTTTTTCCATGTAATTGAGAAATCTTTTCTTAAGATAGACTTTCTTTTTTGGTGTGATTAAAATACAACACTTGCGCAGTACATGCCTACAGTCCCAACGCATGCACTGAAATCAACTCTTGGGCAGTGCATTGCGTACTGTCCTTAGTTGTTATCCTCAGCTATTGAGATTCTGCACATTGCTACTTTTGATATAAAAGGTAAAAAGGTTTACTAGCCCCTAAAATTCTCTGATTGTAATGATGTAACCCAAAACTTATTTTTATTTATAATCTACACTTTTAATTTCAAAACTTATGCAAATTGCCCCTTCCTTTTTAGATAATGTGGACACCATTAATTTTTAAATTGTATGAATCATATTATTTTAACTTTTGATTAACTTTTACAAATTAACAAAAAAAAAAAAAACTTAATTCAAGATAAGTGATAATCTAAACAAGGATTAATATGGAATCCTTATTTGAACTATAAATCATTAGTCCAATTTCTAAGCAACAACATTATGAAAAAGACATAAATTCATAACATTAGTCCATGTACAACGAAAATACAAATAAAAAAGAAAACAGTTTTGTATCTCAAATACACGTATTACGATTGTCTTAATACTAAAAACTTAAATACAAACGTCCTAGTAATACCTTCTACCACCGAATCTCTCCCTCTCCATCTCAAACCTTATCTTGTCCCTTTCCAACTCTTGTTGTGGCTAAGCAAGTTTTGAGTTAACTGATTTTATACTCCTAAACATATTTCTATATTCTCATTTCACAAACAAAAGAGTACCTAATATAAAAAGCTCATTACCATCTTCAACTCCAGGTAAAATTAACAACATCTCCATAAATTCTTCAGTGGTATCAGGATATGTTTCATAATTTTTCTTTGATGAATCACTCAAAGTAGTTGTGGTATAACTTTCAACTACATCACAAAGATGATTCAATTGTTTCTGCATGTATGCTGCACCCCCTACTTTCACTTTCTTCCCTTTGTCGGTAAGTGAAGGACCAATTGTGGTTTTCTTCCTTTTTTCACTACTTCCACCAGTTTGTGTTGGGATGACATTCACCTCATCAGAATCACCACTTCCTTCTTCCAAATCAACAGTATCTTCAAACCCCACATTCTGTTGTACTGAAGGAATAGGCCCAGCAGCTGGAGTCCATGCAGTTTCACCGGTGACTATTATTTTGTCAAACATTTGCTGCAACTCCACTGTGTTTTCTAATCCATGATGCTCAAATTTACCATATTCTTTGTTCTCCTATAATAAACATATAACATATTAGAAGTTTAGAGTTAAAATTAACAAAGTCACATGCAAAAAACTAAAAATCATTAACAATAAAAGACTACAACTAACCGCTTTCAATTCAGCCCATCGTTGAGGAGTAGCATTAATTGTGCCTTTTTCATGATTCCACCCTAGTCTTGTTTCTCGCTTTAAGAGTTGATTCCACAAAACCCAATCACTTTTTAATGCATCCCACCGATTTCTTAGTTATTTATAAATATAATGCTTGTTTGTTCTTTTATTAAATTTTTTTTCCACATTTGTCCACCCTAATCTATTAAAAGTACTATTAGGACGATTACCAGCAATGACCTCTTCCACACATATCTTGCAAAAAATTTTTGTTGTAATGTATCCCACACTGCCTTTAACCTTTTTTCAGCCATCTTATATATTGAAATAATTTTGGCCTTAAAACAAGATCTACAAACACATAGAAACAAATGTTGAATAATTGAAGTATAGATACACATAATAACACCAAAAACAGAATGCTAAAACTAGGACACCTCATGTCCTACCATAGTCACAGAACAGGGTATATCTATCGAAAAACGAGTCAATGTGTAGAGGGAGAAAGGAGATTCTGCAGAGATAGTAAAATCATTGAAAAATAAAAATTTTAATTGAACAATAAGTTTTTAAATATATTAATTAGTATCTAGTTCTTTAAACACGTCCAAAAAAAAAAAATTTGAGAAGACAATATTCCCAACACTAACCTCTTAATTATTTTTATGAAATGCAAACTATATAGATTAAACTCCAAATTCTTTTATAAAAAGAAAAAAATACATCGTCCCCAGCTTAACAAGCTGAAAAAATCATATGATCAAAACAACAAAGAAAGCAGGTAGATCTCCATACTCCTTGTGCAGGGTAATTCATTTGGTGCAAAAATAATTGATATCAAATGAAGGGGAGAAAAATACATGTACATAAGGAAATCAAACCAAAAGAAATTAGTTAAAGACATCTTATCAACAATACAGCATATATACTGTAATAAATTGTTAAAATTCTTAGAATTTCTCTTTATGCATCAAACACATGGATGAGTGAAAATACAACAAATTAAATGCAGTGCTGTTTATGTACCTTGAAATTGAATTAGGATCTTAAAAGGAAGACAATGGAATGGCACAATCCTTCGAGAATCCAAAGTCCCGTGGCCGGAACACCCTCTGCTTCACTCCCCTTTGGTATTGTTGCTTCGTTTGGCTTCACCAACCCATGCCCCGCTTCGTCACGTCACCTAAATCTGCAAGAAGAGAAGGAACAACAAGGGATTAAAAATTACAGCTTTCACCAAAACTCACACTACCAACCAACAATCATCATTCATCACCACCAAATTGGTAGCAGAAACACCAAAAAAGGAAAAAAAATCAGAGAAAAGGAAGGAGACTCACAGAAGGAGGAGAAATGGGATTTTGGTGGGGATTTTTCGGTGAGGGGAAATGGGCTTTTCTACTTTGAAGTAGTTAGGGAGAAAGACAGTCGGTGACTGAGATGCTTTGATATTTCTGATCTGCTTTGGAAGAAGGTGGGCAAGAAGGGAGGGAGAACAAGGCAAGTTCGGCTGCTTTAGAGACAAAGAAAGAAAGAAAGACAGGGGAAATGGGCTTTTCTGCTTTGAAGCAGTTAGGGAGAAAGAATGTCGGTGACTGAGATGCTTTTATATTTCCAATCTGCTTTGGAAGAAGGTGGGCAAGAAGGGAGGGAGAATAAGGCACGTTCGGCTGCTTTAGAGACAAAGAAAGAAAGAAAGACAGGGGAAACAAAGAGGAGGTATAAAATGGCCCTTTATATAATGGTTTTTTTGTAAATAAAAAGAAGTGTGAGGACAAAATGGGAATGCCATGTCAATTTCATTAAACATTTAAGTGAGAAGCTCCCGCAAAAGTAAGAAATGGGAGCTTTCGAGCTTTGCAAAGGAAAGGTGAGCAGTTGAGCTTCTCAAAAGCTGCAGCCCCTTTAGGAAGCTGACCCGTTTGGTGCAGCTTGTGCTTTTAGAGTCAAAAAGCTCTTCCCACAATCTGCACCAAACAGGCTCTTGAGTTCCATGCTTCTCGCTTTCCAAAAGCGACCACATGGGGAATGCACCCTTGCTTGAGCTTTGTTTACCAACAGAAAGAGACAAAACAGTCCGGTTACGTGAACAACACTTTTCATCTAATACATATTCCAATGTAAACATATTAAATTACAATATTACGAAAGATCTTCCTCACAAAAATTAATCACAATTCTCAAATCTCAATAAGGATGTTTATCACCGTAACGATCGACCATTTAGTCAATATACACTGTTTGTCATAAAACTAATGGAGAAAATCCT